CGACGGTAACGAGATGATTAACGGTCAGAAAGTGCTATAATAGGGCACACAACTGACAGGCTACTGAGACATTCAGCGACCCCGAGACCTAGCTCTAACACATCTCCAGTGCGCAAACCAACAGCCTTCCAACTTCGAAGGTTCATGGTTACGTAGGACCGAAGAGGGGAAGGTGAGCGCAGCGAAAATGTGCGAGACATATTCCGGGCCTTGTTCCGCTCAGATTTGTAATGGGTGAGCTCGTCAGGAGTGGGGTACTTCTTGAACTCGATGTGAGAGTCTCGCTTGTGCTTTAACTGAATTCTTAGTGCCGGAGTGAGCCACGAGGGATTACTGGGTGACAGGGAAGATATATCTCGGCGTAGGCAGCTGGCCACAGGTGAGTTTCAAAGGCTTTGGCCACTGTGGGTGAGAGGCTCGCAGGTGAGAGAGAACATATGTGTCAAGCTATACAATGCAGTTATCACACCAATACTCCTGGAAAATTGCTCAATATGGTGAGTCCCAAGCAATGTCATCAAGCGATTAGAAGTATTCCACAGACTACACGTGGTCAGCAATCGAGGACATCTGGGAGTTGTAATTTTGGTACTCCTCCGAGGTGTGATTTTTGGCGTGCTGGGCCAAGCACAAGGAAGCCAGCCACCTGTCAAAAAACTGAAGAAAACGGTTGTTGTTTGATCCTTTGTTGTAATCTTTGTAGCTAGTCGAAGCAAGTTGCTGTTTGGAGCAGAAACTGAAATTGACTTTTTTCTGCATGTACTCATGTACTCAGGCATGCAGTCTCACTCGTATTTTAGCTCTTCTTCTGGAATGGATGCTGCTCTGCGCCCCTAGGTGAACATTTCCCGCGCTCGTGGAGCAGCTGGAGAAGACCACTGGTATGTCTGGTTCCTGGTTTGAAAGTGGAGAGTCGACTTTTGTGTCTTGAAACAGGAGTAGCTTATTTTGAGTGCTCCTCGTGCATTTTTCATCATGATAGAAATTCTCAGACCAAAGTCAGCGCGATGATGACCGATCAGTTTTCTTGTGGATTTTTTAGTTTTTTCGTAACGTATCTATGTCAGTATGGTGATGGTGAAGTGGAGAGGGTGATTTTCTTCCTCTGGGCTTCGTTCGGCCGACTTTGCTTCGTCCTCGTTGAAAAGTGATGCTGAAAAAAAGGTCGATTCGCAAAATTATGTTGATTTTGAATGGAAGTGATGACATGCGATTGCTGGCTATGATTGCAAAACAGTCGTGGGGATCAAGTACCCTCAATTCATCAAAATGTCGAGCTGTATAAACGCACCAACTCCCAGCCCCCAGGGAAAACCATTGTGAGAGCGAGGTGGCGGTTCTTTGGCCATGTCCTGAGACTAGATGACGATGTACCAGCACGCTTTATGATGGCAGCATACTTCGAAAACCCAAGATCTGCAGCCACCTGGCGGGGCCGGCCACGTACCACTCTGCCACTGAGTCTGCACTAGGACCTAGAGCGTATGGGGGGTCACTCAAGAAACGTGAGCAACTTGAGAACCTCCATGCCATCGCCCAGTCACGACAAGATTGGAAAGACCTATGCAGCAATGTGATAAAAGCATACATCAAAGCCTAATACTGCTTTCACCTGTGGCAGCTGCATGGCTGTACGGTGTACTATAGCATAACTCATTGACTAAAATATTTTGTGAAAATATTATCCTGTAAAAGAATAGGAATGTAAACGATATACCTGTGAAAACATAACCTTTAATGCTATTAACACAACCTGTGACTACAATAATCATGAGAACAACCCCAAAACATTTCTTGCAGTTTACTTTCGTAGAATTTGCAACATTGTGTACCTCAATACAACTTGCAGCTTTCTTCAAAAATATCCTCAACCTTGGTTCTGTCCTAGATTGTATATACATGCATTCATTGTTTCGTCTCATCATTATGGAGCAGCTTATGCGAAGGCTAGCCAAGCTTGCTTGGCGATGCCAACGCGGAAAAGCCTATAATAGTAATAATAATAATACTGCCAACAAATGCCTAGAAGAACACACCCGCCGTGATCGACTGGTTCGGGGGGCCGGAGGAAAAGCAAAACTGCGTTTTTGTATGTTTTGATGTCGTGCAGTTCTACCCATCTATCTCGGAGGAACTATTATTAACGTCGTTGGAGTTTGCCAGAGGCTTCCCGTCGGTGTCTTCGGAGGACCAGGAAACAATCCTCCATCCACGGAAATCCCTGCTATTCGGCCTCGGGAAAGAGTGGATGAAGAAGGGAAGCGGAGTATTCGATGTGACGATGGGATGCTATGCCGGTGCTGAAGTCTGTAAGTTGGTCGGTACGCTGGCCCTTGCCAAACTATCCGAGGTGTACATTGGCAGTGACATCGGACTCTACCGCAACGATGGGCTGGCAGTATTCCGGAACGTATCGGGACCAGAAGTGAACAGGATCAGAAAGCACATGACCAAAGTTTTCAACAGCCTAGGACTAAAAATTACCATCCAGAAAACCTGACATCAGTCGACTTCCTAGACATCACGCTGGACCTACGCACTGGCAAATACCGTCCATATCGGAAGCCCAACGACCGGCTACTGTATGTCCATCACAAATCCAACCACCCACCGATCATCATCCAGAATTTGACCTCTTCCATCAGCCGATGAAAAACAGACATATCAACGGATCAAGAGACATTCCAGGACGAGACAACAATGCGCTCAGAGACAGCGGGTACAATGAGACCGTCCAGTTCTCGCAGGAACGGAAGAGTGGGAAAGGGAAGAGACAAAGGAAGAGACACCGGAATATCACATGGTTTAACCCACCGTTGAGTACGAATGTGTCCACAAGCGTTGGTCAGCGATTCCTGCAACTCGTCAGCAAGCACTTCCGCAAAGGATGCAAATTATACAAGATATTTAACCGGAACACGCTAAAGCTCAGTTACAGCTGCATGCCAAATGTCGCCACCATCATCAAGCAACACAACAATAGTATCCTCCGCAGCGACCACCAGAATAAGACCAAGGATGTGAGAACCTGCCACTGCCATGTCAAAATGATTGCCCTTTGGAAGGAAACTGTCTAGCATCGAGCATTGTGTACAGGGCACATGTAACCGGCAGCGACATGAAGGAGTACACTGGATTAACGGAAGGGACAATCAAGACACGATTCAATGGTCATCAACATACTTCGAAGTACTATTCGCCACAAGAAGCAAGAGACCTCAACGAGACTGTCCAGACCCATCTGGAGACTGAAGGATGAAAACAAACCTTACAGTATCAGGTGATCCGTTGTGAGGAGAGCCGCACCATACTCCAACATCTCGAAGCGCTGCAACCTGTGTCTGGCCGAGAAGCTAGAGATTGCCTGGGCCGACAAGACCCGCTCCCTCAACAAGAGGTCAGAGCTTGTGTCCAAGTGTCGTCATGAAAACAAGTTCAGTTCTACCTCTGTAACTTTGCCCGCAAGGTCAAGTGAATCTAGCTGGCAGTCCCGCTGCCTAGTGTGTATGTGGGTGTGTGTGTGGGGGGGGGGGGGGGGGGTGGTTGGGTGCACATGGTTGGTATGTGGTGTTTATGTGAGTGTGTGAGATATAGAGAATGAATGTGTGGGCGCGCGTGTGAGTGTATGTGTATATGAGAAAAGGGAGAGAGTGTGGGTGTATATTTGTGTAGTGGTGTGGGCATGTGTGGATTTGGCATTTGTCCCCAGCTCTATTCTATATCATTCACGCTGGAACTACTGCTGCATAGCCCCATGTCTGAAGACTTGGCAACTTCACGCCTGCACCTGACTCCTGCGCTATGATACGCGTCGCCTATGACACCCCCCTGAATTTCCCACCTTATTCCCCCCCCCCTTATGTTCTGGCTGCCCGTTTTGGATCCATCAGTTGCCTGATGATCGTAGTAAGACGTGACACTCAGAGTTGTAACAAAGCTTCCAAACTCTCTCTTGTGTAATAATAATAATAATAATAATAATAATAATAATAATAATAAAATTAGAAAGGAAAAGGACATATGGAAACGAGTTAAGAGTAACTCTCTGACTGTATATAGTATCTAGTTACAGTGGTGGAGAGTTACTCTTAACTCGCTTCCATATGTCCTTTTCCATTCTAATTTTATTATTGGCTCAATACCCGAGTTTCAAATAATAATAATAATAATAATAATAATAATCCAACAAAAAAGCATGTACAAAATAAATTATTATACAGTGTTACCGCCATGGTCAACTCTCAGCTCAGGCTTGTGTGTCGCCGGCTATTTCCTGATGGTGAGGCGTCGCTCCATGAGATCAATTGCCTCGTGTATGCTGGTGCTTGCGTTTGCATATCGACTATCCAAGGCAGTCAGAATCATCCGACTGGCAATGCCAAGCAAAACGGAAGTGACAAGGACCATCCGCCGCAGTGGCAGATCCGATTGACAAAGGAAATCGCTCAACTCCGCTCGGATGTTTCCCGACTCACCAGCATGCTACGATATCCATCGGAGAAACATCATGACTTCTGGAGGAGATATGAAGTTGAAGTCGGAAACACAGACGAGTTGGAAATGAAGCTACAGGGAAAGAAAGATCGACTTCTTGCGCTAGCAGCCAGGATGCGTCGATACCGAGAAAATGAAAAGGCCAAAAAAGCCAACAAAATGTTCCAAATGAATGAGCGTGCTTTCTACCGGACGCTTCGGGAGCCTGCACACTCTCTTAGTGGTGCTTCAAATCGATTGGAGACGCCGCAATTTCCAGAGGCGGGTGAAGCCACCGAATTCTGGAGTGATCTTCTGTCTACACCTGCGCCGTTCACCGCTGGGGAGTGGTATGTAAGGCAAGCAGAATATTATGAAGAACACGTCCCTGTGCAGAGTAGCGCAGTTATCACCCAGGACATCCTGGCTGACTGCCTGCGCAAACTAGCCTTGTGGAGGGCTCCGGGCCATGACAAGTTGCACGGGTACTGGTGGAAGAGGCTGACAAGCCTGCACTCTTACCTTCGGAGGGCCTTCCAGGGGGTGATAGATGGCCACAGTGACATTCCGGGATGGTTGACGTCTGGCGCTACTACTCTCCTTCCTAAGACTTCTCCACCTTCGGCAATGCCCAAAGATTATAGACCAATTACGTGTCTTCCGATACAGTACAAGCTCTTTACCGCCGCCATATCGAAGATTATGTGGCAGCACATCAATCAACATGAAATACTTGCAACGGAGCAGCGCGGTTGTGCAGCAGCTGGTCTTGGTTGCAAGGAGCACCTGATGGTGGATAAGATGATTCTGGAGGATGCCCATACGAAAGGGCGAAATCTGGTCATGGCATACCTGGACTTCAAAAAGGCGTTTGATAGTGTGTCGCATGAATGGATTCTACATGCTTTGACGATGTATCGATTCCACCCGTCTTTGGTCACAACTATTGCTCGTAGCATGCAGAACTGGAGAACGAAAATGCACATATGCGACCATATGCCAGGCACATATGCCTGGCGCTAAACCCAATCAGTTTTGAGCTCAACCGATTGCCTTTGGGATACAGAGTCAGCTGCAGAGACGCCGAGTTGTCTATCAATCACTCTTGGTACATGGACGACATTAAACTCTACGGGAAAACTACAAAGGATGTGACTACCCTCGTGTCTACCGTGTGTGGCGTTGGTGATGACATCGGCATGAATCTCAACCCGGCCAAGTGTGCCGTGCTGCACGTCAGGAGAGGAAAACCAGATGAAGGATGCTCTATCCAGGTTGGCGATGAGACCATTGCAGAGTCGCTACGACTCAATGAAACATACAAGTACCTTGGAGTAGTGCAAGCAGTCATGATACCTCACCCGCAGCTCAAGACGCAACTCACTGCAGAATACAAAAGAGATTGTATTTGCTTCTTAACAGTGGATTGAATGCGCGAAACATGATCAAGGCCATCAATACGTATGCTCTGCCGGTTATGACATATAGTTATGGAATCGTAAATTGGACCGAGGCTGAAATCAAGACCACAGATCGAGCGACAAGATCAGCCTTGACTGCGTCTGGATTTCACCACCCCAAAGCCTCAGTCAACAGGCTCTACATGAAGAGGGGAGATGGAGGCCGGGGCTTGGTCTCTTGTGAGGATATGCACGGCCGGAGCATGTGTGGCCTGGCCCGCTACATGAGTACCAGCCCAATAGACAGAATAAGCCTGCTTTATCAGTATCATCAACAAAAACCTAGAACAAAAAGCCACTCAATAACTGCAAAGGCCGCTAAGTTCCTGTCGAGTTTGGATCTGCCAGCAGCTGGACCAGCTTTACCCAATAAGCATACCATTAAACAAGCGTGTGCTGAGCGAAAATCCAAAACACTTTCCACTATGCCGCTGCATGGGAGATATTGGAGCCGATTGGAGGAGAATCACCTAGATAAGGAGCTTACCTTCATGTGGTTGAAATCAAGGACACTGAAACCTTCAACTGAAGGCATGATTATGGCAGCACAAGACCAATCCCTCAAAACGAAAAATTACCAATACGCCATAATGAAGTCAATTGCTCGAACTGATGCCAATTGCAGGCTTTGCAAGGGCAGCTTATAGGCCTTTCACACGACGGGACAAAGTCACGTCTGTTCGGGCTCACGGGCGGATCACCAAGGCGATCATCAAATGGCGGGAAATCTGAATCCGTAGACCCGACGGTCTGCCCGCGACACCCTGACCCCCTGGCTGTGCGTTTTCGTTTTCGATTTCGTGTTTCCTGTACTGGTTTGGCTTGTGTTCGCGATCGCGTCTTCTCACTGAGCGTTTCCTGAACAGCAGCACAGGTCCGACTTTCTGAACAATGGCCACCCGGACATTCAGCCCAGAATCCGAAATGATGCTTATCGAAATCTTCTGCTCCCTACTTGAATCGACTGATAAAATGATGATGACGCGAGCAGCGAAAGAAGACAAAGCAACAAAACGGCTGAACGGCCAAAAGGATTTGGGAAATCGAACGAGGCACTCCAAACCCTGTAGGCTGTGAGCCGATTGCCCTGTCCGGACCCAGTTGCCCAAGGCCACGGAAAACAAACAGCAAAAATAGAGCAAAGCTACGCGGATTTGTCAAATCCTTGGTCCTAGAAATCCAGTCAAGAACGCCAAAGCAACAAAGTCGTCTTTTCAGTCTTGTTCTACTCCAACATCAGGCAAAGAGAGTTTGAATTTTCCCAGGAGGCATGAAAATAAAAAATATTTTGATTTATTTCCATCAAAACACGTGCCTCCATTACAATTACCTAGGCAACAGTCAAATCGTGACCGACTCGCGTGCGCCGTGTCGGCAGAGTGTAATAGGTAGCCGAGTGGTAGGCGCGGTGAAATCAACAAAAATTACTTTTATTCTACTTTCAGGTACACACCTGAGATATAATCGTTAGTGAAAGAAGAAGCGGCAAAATAAATAACTTTCTCTCCGGTGCTCACCTAGAGGCTGAATCCTTATTCTTCGAGTTAGCTTTCATTGCTATCCAATC